TTTAATTTTATTTTGTTTAATTACAAGTAAAATATCAAACAAATGTAAATGCACATGTTGTCCAACAAAAATTACTGGCATTTTAAACTTTAAGGAAAAATCTTGTAAAAACAACAACATAATTTGTTCAACATGTAAAGTTGGACAATCAGGACCTTTTTTGCCAATTCTTAACAGTCGAATCCACTCTACATTGATTACACTTGTAAGTTTCTCTGAATCCTGATTTCCAAATAATCATCTGTTTTCATGTGGAAATGGATTAAAACTTATATCTGGCTCCTGTGTGATTTTGGAATTTCAAATTAAAATTCAATTCAAAAGCTTTGCTTTTCATATTGTTATTCATCTTTGCTCTGACAATACACAAGAACCATTCAAACTACTCAGATAAAATACTTTTGTTTTTAAACACCAGAGGGTGAACATCCAGTAAAAAATGCAAATACACAGTTCACAAAAATTATTGCAAAAACGTGAAGATTCCTTCACTTGAGCATATAGGACCACCTAGGTTTTTGAAGCAATGAAAAATGAATAAAAACCTCATCTTATGTGAGAATAAATATGGTATTTTATTAAAGATATAAGTAAAATTATTATTATGAAGGGTTAAAACTAAAAACACTGTATAAGAACTAAAATTTTAAAAAATTGAAATTTTATAAGTTATTTTAAAAAATTGCCCAACAGTGATTAGTTAACAATTAATCGTACAATTAGAACAATCATACAATGCTGATATTAATCATGATTGTATGTATTTCATTATTAATCAGCTAATTTGATAATCATCCCAACACTAACATAAATCTTATTTTAGGTACTATAGTTGCAACAGGTTTTGACCAATCATAAAGTGAGTTAACAACAGTGGTTTTGCTTATTCTGCTTTAAAAAAAATTTGTAGACCAGATAAGTTTTTAATTTTGGATGAAAAATATGTAAATAATGTTGCCAGATCTGGCAATATTTCAAGCCAGTTTGGCAATTTTTTTTTCCAATTTGGTAATTTTTCTATGCTATTATAAGTTTATTTCAGGTGTATTCAAATTTTTTTCTTAAAAACAGGGCAGGAGTCAGATATAGGCAAATGAGACAATTACAATTGTGTGAGATTTTGAACATCCCTTTTTCTTAAAGTTTAAACTGAAATAATGAATTTAAAAGTACTATTTTTGATTTTGATGGAAAAAGTTATTTTCCAAAAACAAAGGAAACTGTAAAACTCACTTCCTTTTCAACGGAAATTGAATATCCTGTTCTTTTCCCTTATCTTTGAAAATTTGAGTCACATAATGAACAGTCACCCCTCTGTAAATCCCCACTCATCCTGCTCATGTGGAAAAATACGATATTCCCATTGGAAGAAAACCTCGAAAAACGGGATTCTTTGGTATTGTTCGGGGAGTGCACCACAACTTCTATGAGAATAAAGACGTATTTCATACCGTCTCCCTACAGCTAACGCCCTTAGCCAGGCGTGCGTCAAGAAATCCAGAAGTGAGAAGACATATTCCATATCAACTCCCTAAAGCCACCACCCAAAGCTTAGAAAATTTTAATCTACAAGTTCCTGAAGTAAGAAACTATTTGATAAAGTGCCTCCTTCAAGTTACTAAGAGAAAAGGAAAGAAAAACCTGACGAGAACCAGATTAATTAAAGAACCTTATCATCGATCCAAAGATAAAAAGAAGACAGCAAAACCTAAAGTTGTGAGGTAGTATGACTTTAAAACAAAGTGTAATTGCTCTCTCCGCAAAACAGATAATTTATTATAATTGTAATCTCTACTTTTGTTTTTATTTGGTTTATTAAATATTCTTTGTTATTTCATTTAAAAATGGCCTCATTATTGACTGAATCAAAAGATTCCTTCTCACAATTTTAACACAACCTCTTCGCAAAAATAATTAGAAGTAATCATGTAATAGTCTGTGAAATTGACTATTTGGTGTCAACGTCCTGTGTTTATTAGTCCCAAAATGATTACAATAAATGGCATACTACTGTACTTTTTAACAAGAGCATTAAAAGTATCATAATGTTATCATTAGTTCAAATAAACTGTCAAATTTTTACTAAAACAAATACAAATCTATAAAGAATACTTCTCCAATATACATAAATGTTTTTTTTTTTTAAATAAAAAAGTTGATACTTATACATCATATATGATGTAACTCAGTCACTTATCTGAAATTTATATTGTAAAAATTTGTAATGATCAACTAGTGTTAAATGATGTCTCTGCTAATAGCTAAAATCTATGAATAGGATAAAACTATATGATTAACCTGCTAATGCAAACTTTATCCAAGTCTTTTGGTTAAAGCAAATAACAATATATTAATTTTTGAACTTTCTCTGTATAAAACACTTTATTCAAAACAGATAAAGCTGGCATTATCTAAAAATGGATGAATGAGGCTAAAACAAAATACTTAAAATTCAAGCTTTATTCTAATAATGAGAAATTCTATATTAAATTCTGTCCAAACAATGATAGATAATGTTTCCCCCATTTTTTTTATGGGCATGAGAATTTTGTTTTTTAGCCATTATTTAGTTAGTGGGAACAGGTAATATATTGCCAGGTGTGATAATTTATTGTAGACTTCAAGCTAATTGGCAATATGGCAGCAATTTTTCCAATTTGGTGATTTTTTAATGCCTATGATGAACTTATTAAAAACACTTGTATATTCCAAGCCTATATTATACTACCCCAAAATAGTTTGAAATCACCACCTACATTTTCTGGCATTATAAATTAATCAATTTGGTTTGTGAATGACTCAACTCCACATATCAAATTTTTAAAAATTTTAATGTCAAAGCACTTGATATACTCTTAACTTTCTATATTCATAATAAGTTTCCCTAGTAATAAGGATCAATACCACTTAATGACAAATTTTATTGGCCATCAAAAAAATTTATTTCAGAAGCCTATCTAATTAACTCCATACTGTAATGTAAATCCACCAGCACACACTGCAATCACAGTATGCACTGACCACCAGTACCTTGTAGATAATGGTAAATTATTTAATGTTATATCATCACAACAAGTAAGTAAAAGAAATTAGTTAGTTACATCCAACTTCTGCAGAAGTAAGTATACTTGTAGATTATTGAACGATTGTTTTAATTTTAGTGGCAATTGTTTTTAGAAAAAGAAAAGTTATACTGTTACATCAAGATGGACAAAATTAAAAATAATTTGTTTTAAACATTTTAAACATGATTCTTATAAAAATTTAAGAACAAATCAACATGATGGGACCTCAAATACAGCTGACAAAAAAGACATCATTTTTATGTTGCTGAATAATCAATTTAAGCAAAATAATAATAACCACCATTATAACAGTAACAGAACAGTTATTCATATTTGCAAAAAATCTTTAATAAAAAATGTATGATAATGAAGTTTCACTATAATAAAAAAAACTTTGTGAGGACTGAATTTGATGTTATTTACTTTTTTCACTTGCCAAATCAATTAACTCTCTCAATCACACCATCATAATAATAATAATGATTAAAGCATATCTATGCTATCTTATACATTTTATATGTCATTAAATAAAAGCTACATCTACAATAATACATTTTACAATGTTTATTTGAATTTATATTTTAAAAGGAATTTTAAAGAAGAATGTACAAGGACTGTTTCTTTTTTCAACCTCCAATGGTCCATAAAATAAAGACAAATGTAAATAACAAAATGAATTTATTACCAAAAGTTAGGTACAAACATGGTTACTTTTTGACATAATCACCATAGAGATTGAGGTATTTGTCTATCTGTGTCTAGCTTTGAAATCCACTCTCTGTAGAATGTTGTCACCAGTGACTTGAGATAGTCTTAACGACATTGTTTTGAAGATCGTCATTAGTCTCAAACCTCTGCCTTCTTAGCCATGTTTTCTGTTCAGGAAAGAGGTGGAAGTCTGAAAGGTGGAAGTCTTCACCACCTTTAAACAGCCAGTGTATAGCCCTGATTTAGCATCGAGCAACTTCTACCTGTTTCCTGAACATGGCTAAGAGAGCAGATGTTTGAGACTAATGATCTTCAAAACAATGCTGTTAAGGCCAACTCAAGTCACTGGTGACAACATTCTATGAAGAGTGGATTTCAAAACTCATCCACAGATATGACAAATGCCTCAATCTTTATGGTGATTATGTCGAAAAGTAACTATGTTTGTACCTAACTTTTGGTAGTAAATTCATTTTGTTATTTACATTTGTCTTTGTTTTATGGACCATTGGAGTTTGAAAACAGCTCTCTTATATTATTTTGTCACTTTCTTCACTTTTTGTTTTATGGAGTTAATCGATTTGGCAAGTGAGCAGCACAATTCTCTCATGTCATAACTGCAATTACATATACGCTTTATTACAAAAATCAACTGATAACAAAACTACACTCTAATATGCAAATCCTAATTGAACAGCAGTTAAATCAAAAGAAAAATTTACTTAGGACAAAAATAAACTTTTCATGGAAAAGGGATAGAAATTTTTACAAAAATCAACTATATATCTCAAGGTAAAATTAATTTTTGATGTCAAAGTTTCAAATTACTTATTCTATGTTACTGTAAGGTTAGATTAAATTTAAAGATATACTATATTACTTCTAATTAATTAATTGTATTTACAAGAATGGTAATCCAAATAAGAATCCTACTTGATTATATTGTTTCAAAATAAATAAATACCAAATTTACTTTGACATTATGAAAAATGCTTATTAATATTAACCAAATGAAAAATCTTTTCTATTTATCTAATTTAAAGGAATGGCTAATTGAATCAAAACTGAAACAAAATTTTGTCCTGTATAACATGAATTAGAAATTCAAATAGAAAATATAAAAGTTTGTCCTCAAAGTCCAAGAAATATTTAAAAAATAAACTTTAAAAAACTTCAGAATATGCAGTAAAATTATTATACAAGATTATATTATCATAAAGTACAAACCTGACACTTCATGTTGTGCATAGTTGTAAGACATGGGCACCAATTGAAATAAAGAAGTATGATGTTTACGAGATCGTCCCTCTGGAGACTGTCCATGTTCATCATCAGGGTCTTCACCCAAAAAGTGAATCTTCTCATATAATCCTAAATATCTAGTAAATAGATAAAATCAAATATTTTATTTAGTAATTATTAAAACTTTTTCATGATTAATAATAAATTAATTATACACATTATAAAATTATTGTTTATAATTTTTTCAAACAATTTAATCAAAACAAGTACTAGCAATTTGCATTTGTCGGTCTTAAATATTACTATTACTAATTATACTAAATTTAATAAATAATGTTATTGACTGATAAAGTATATATATCAACAATTTGCTATTCTGATTATTGTGTATGTCATAGAACTGAGGTTAGCAACTTGTGGCACTTGATGCAATTTTTAATGGGACACAGCAATGTTCAGGTCAACAGTACAAAAAAAATTATTTAAAAAATAAAACTTAAATGTATTGCATCCATGATTAATTAATTGATAATTCATCTATTTTTATATTTAATTTTGAAGTTCTTATTTTTATCATTCCCTCAACCCACATCTCATGTTTCAAGTTGTATAATGTATCCATATGTTAATGACATAACAAGATTAAGTAGACTACAACTGAAAATTAATTTATAAATAAACTTTCTTAAACCAATTTATTATTCTTTCCAAATTTTATTATCTAATGCAAATTGAAAGACTATCAGATGAAACAGAAATGAGTATTACTTTACATTAAAATTAAGTTTGAAGAAAGAAATATGCAATATATATTTCCTTCTTCAAACTTATGTTTTTCTGCAGTAAAAACTTTATTCATCTCATTTAATGTAGAGATTCCAACCTGACAAGATGACAATACACAACAGGTCATCCGGAGTTCAACACTCACTCCACCTAATACAGACAATGATCACAACTTCACCTACAATGATCACAACTTCACCTACATTGAGGTTTCAAATGCCATCTGTTCACTCACCGATAACAAAGCCCCAGGTCTTGACAGCATAATCATAGGATGATAAAGCATGTGTTTGAGGCCAATCCTACAGCATTTGTAATTCTCTTCAATATCTGCTTGAACACTGGCCTTTTTCCTAGTCAGTGGAAAAAGGCTAGTGTCAAATTGATTCCCAAATCCACCAGCGCTAACACTTACAAAAAATACAGGCCAATCTGCCTTCTCCCAACTCTGGGAAAAATGTTAGACAGTCTAATGACTAATAGGATCACTTGGCATCTATGCAAGTGTAGAGTCCTGCATCAGAATCAGTTTGGCTTCTCTAAAAACAAAGGTACTGTAGATGCCATCCACCAAGTCGTTAATTACATCCACCAGGCTAAACAAAACAATCAGCATACTACAATTATCACTATTGACTTTAGAGGTGCCTTCGATCATGCCTGGTGGCCTTCTATCTTACACACATTATATGCTCATTACTGCCCTCAAAGTCTTTACAAACTTCTTCAGTCCTATCTTAGTGACAGAAGTGCAGGTGTTTATACCACAAAATAACATGTCATACTCATCACTCGAGGTTGTCCTCAGGAATCCAGGTCTGGTCTTGGTCTCTGGAACATAGCCTATAACTCTATTCTGCACTTAAACAACACCCTCCCTCCTGGCTGCCACATACAGGACTTTGTGTATGACACAATTATCCTAGCTTCACACAGGAACAGTGAACGCTTACAGGACATATGCAATGACATTCTCAATAACATTCACCAGTGGAGTATTAAGCATAAGCAACCTATTAACACAGACAAATGCGAAAGCATGATAGTTGGTAGGAACATGCCACTTGTCAGGAAGCTTACCCTTCAAATAGGTGCTCACAGAATAAAGAGAACAATGGAAATTAAATATTTAGGTGTTATTCTTGATGAGAGACTTAACTTCACACCTCATATCAAATACATCACAGACAAAGCTAAAAAGACGGCCAACATCCTTATTAGTATTGCTAGGAATCCATGAAGCCTTGGCCCTAATGCTACTAAACTTATTTACAGCAATGCAATTCAGCCAGCACTCCTCTATTTTGTACAGGTCTGGGGCCACATGGCTGCCAAAGTCTATAACCGTAAAATCTGTTCAAAGGATTGCAGCTCTCCACATTTTTAAGCCTTATAGGACCACACCCACTAGTGTCCTCTTGGTAATGTCAGGATTGACCCCTATTGACTTAGAAATTAAATGCATTATTTGGCAGGAAAATCTTGTCACTTTATCCTGGCAAGATTATAATGACTTGGCTGTCCACAAAATGATTAGAGTAGGTAAGATTCTTCCCAGTTTGACCTTGATTGATGATATCAAAAAATTCAGCATCGGCAAAAATACCCTCCTAACTTATGATTACCACCACTTCCATCAGCTTGCACCTGATGTTTACTCCGAAGATCCAGGTGATCATTGCATGTTTAGGATTTACACTGATGGTTCCAAGATGGGTGACAATGTGGGTGCCGCTTTTGTAGTTTACTCCAACTTAGGCTGTGAGCTTTATAACACTTGCTTCCATCTAGGTACACACTGCTCAATAGCACATGCGGAAATTTTAGCTATTTATATGAGCTTAATTCACATTAGACATAGGAAGAACAAAAGACAAAAGAACAAGGACAACAGGCTATCACATTTATTCTGACAGTAGGGTAACTTTACACAGGATTGCAAAGTCTAATAGCCACTTAAAACTCATCCATTTCATACACCACTTTCTCAGACACTTAGACAACAACATTAGAATAGATTTTCAATGGGTCCCAGGTCATGTGGGGTTCTCGGCAATGAGACCGCTGACTGAAGACTAGTGACTGAAGACTTTGAAGACCGCTGACTGAAGGACTAGTGACTGAAGACTTTGCAGCTTGTTTGGCAAGACGCCAAACAAGCTGCAAAGTCTTCAGTCACTAGTCCTTTCAGTTATATTCCTACCTTGTACATCAACAATCACGTCAAGAAGCAAATCTTCATTCTCTGGCAAGACAGCTGGGACCATGACACTACTGGTAGGCTCATCTACACTTTCATCCCCAAAGATGACACTACTGTGATTCTTTGCCACTTTTATCCTAGTTATACCCTCACTCAGTTACTTACAGGACACAGCAACTTTAAGCAATACTTGCATAGTCACTAGTCTATTCAATGCAGTACAAATTTGGCATTAGCTTTAGCCTTCATTGGAATTTTGAAGTGAAGGGGGTGATACTATGTTGAAGGGGGCGACGATTCGTTAGAGGTTGAGAAACACTGAGTCAGTGTGTTAATACAATATTCATCTACCCAGGCTTAAAAATAATACCTTCCTCTGAAATTTCACACGAAGTAGATTTTAATCAATGTAAGCTGAGTTAATTTACAACAAGTTTCTTAATTTAATATGTTTATGTTTATTTTTGTGTTTTTGAATCTAATAACAATAAGAATAAAATACAAAAATACACGTAAAAACATATAAATAATACACAAACAAATACACAAAAAAAGCACTTTTGGAATACCACGAATATTTTATGCCACTACAAAGAAGACAAAATGGAGAAATTAAACATATAATTGTAGGTTTATAAAATGCCAAGTTTCACAGTTTTAAAATAAAACTGTTCAATTTTTTTTTTAATGTGCCCTCTACAGAGGGATGTGTAACATCACTTAAACTGGCATGCTGGGTTTTACCATATGGAAATTTCTGGTTTTATGGTCTCCCTTGGATAGACCAGCATGTCAGTCATTCTATGAAAATATGGTATTTATGCAGGTACTGATGTTACAATTTGACACAAAAATCATGTAACTGAAATAACTGTTGATGTCAAAAATGTTTGTCTTTTTTTTTATTCTAGTAGCAGTTGCAAAATAAAAATTGTTCAATAAAGATTGCTTCATAACAAATAAACTAAATAATGCTATGGACTTTTTTTAAATTAAATTATTGTTTTCATTCTTATCAGCATTTTACAGGAAATACAGTGCTCCCAAAATTTAAATTCATAACTTTTTATTCTTCTATTTTCTCTCTCACCTTTTCAATGTTTTCCTAGCTCCCATGGCACATTTGTGGACCCTTCATAATGCACTAGTGCCACAGTGCACTGTTTGAAAATCACTTGTCCACATACTGATTATTTGACATTACTCAGATATTTTGATTCAAAACTATATTCTATGTCATGAAAATCAATTCATTTAGAAAAATTAAATAATCCAATAAACAATGATTAATACATTGTATATCACATTTAAGATATTAATTATAAAAAAAAATTGTAGTTGTGTAGAGCTTAAATTTTATGTAGTCCATAATACAAGTTATTGATAAACATAATTTAGAATTAAAACTTGGGATATGAAGTTTTTTATTTATTGTCTTATTCTGCAGATACTATGGATTGTTTGCTAGTTAGATTAATTATTACAATTGAATGCCTTAACTGTTAACATTGATAAATAATGCAAAAAATTCCTAGAATTCCTAGAAAATATAATGTACTTTAAAATGTGTTTAATGACAAAAATTAGATGTTTATAAATCAGAAAAAGTTTGTTAATGTAATATAAATTAAACATTCAAAGTTGCTATCAGCTGATAAATTCAAATCAAATCTAAGACTTTTTGGCTAAAAATTTGGTGAATTATTTGATACTGAATTGTTGCAAAAAGTTTATCAACTCAGTCTACAGAATGATTGGAAAATTTCAGAACTTTTAACTCCAGAAGGATCATTGGATCTGAAAAGTTTATTGCACATATGCAACTATCAACACCTAATTTATTCAAATCTGCTGAGAAATCTAGATGGCATTCCAATAACAAAAATAATCTTAGTATAATATATATATACACAATACACAGATTCTATAAGTAACAACATAAAAATGTTAGATAATAAAATTAAACTGAATAAAAAAATATATGTAAAACTACAATCAAAAAATGTTTGTTTTAGGAATCAATTTAATCTCTTAAATTACCACATAGATAAAGTTGAAAACAAATATAATTAAGTACTGGTACAATATGTTTGTGAATGGAATTTCCAGTCCTCATAATGTCTGAAACAAATTCTTCAACTTAAATAA